CCCCCCTCGTTTTACATTACCCCGTGCCTCCCATTTGGCCCAGCTCCAATGTTGACAGAAGGAACACATCCTTTCGTCAAGCTATTGAGGGAGATTAACCGAGATGTGCCGAAGCTGCTTCTAGTTGCTAGATCCATGTCTCGTTACAGATTGCAAATTCAGGCTCTGTGCCATCAGAGCTGTCCTCCTGCGAATTCCCATGCGAAATCATGCGAACATGTCGACGTGACCAACCTAGTCCGAAGGGTGTGTTTTACATTAATTTCTCCCTAGTGATCCCCAGGCATTAATGTAAAACGCGGGGGGGGGGGGGCCTCTTATTTTGGGTTGGGCGTGGGGATACGTCTGGGCTAGGTTGACGTTGGACTCATGGAGGCTGTCTGTCTCGAACGTGTTGCCCTTGAGAGCATACCCAGCATACCGGCTTGTCGATGTCACGGGTCGCACATGAAAATCACAAGCGACATGACAATGACGCTACCAGACCTCTGATTTTTTGTGTGATTGAGAATCACGGAACCACAGCAAGTCCAAAACCTGGCAAGCGGCCGCAAGCGGCCGGCCTTCAAATTCTGCCGGACGCTGTAGTGCAAGGCTTCGATTCTAGCTGCTGTGCTCGTTTGAGATGAGTGGACCCAAAGTGATGTTCAGCAGAGTAGCAGAAGCAGACTGGGTGTCTGCGGTGCCCAAGGCTCGGATGGCTTCAGACGAGGAGCCGCGAGAGAGAGCCACGGATCACGTAATGCTGCTCCTGCCTGGCCTGCGCTTGCGGCGCAGTGCAGAGCGAAGTGCAGGGTGAAGTGCGGAGTGAAGTGAAGTGCAGATGGCGTGACTCGGGAGCGGAAGGGATCAGCCTTCACGGCCCAAGAAAGGAACTGGTTCTCTGCCATTCCAGGGAGCACCTGGAAGGCCAGTGTCGGGGAGGTTGAGCTGTTCGGCGGTGCTCTGACGTGGTGTGATTCCTTCAGGGGCACGATGCTTGTTTCCAAGTTGTCGCTCTCACCACACTTCAGCAGAGAGGGGTTGAGACTCCGGAGATGCCCAGAGCTTTCTCGTGATCAGGCCTCAAGGCAGCGTCCCTGGCCGCTGCGCGGCTGAGGCAGGTTGCCGAAGTACGCTGCAATTAGAATTTTAGGGTTGACAGCGGGCTGTGTATGTATGTGCACGAGCGCAGCTTCTCATGGCATGAGTACATGTCCGAGACATAGGACAAAGGAGCGGGAGCCCAAGCTCGAGGCTTCGAGTGGGTCTGTGACGAGGCGCCCCCTGTGGCTGCCGCCTGGCGGCTGTCTCGACGGCATTGACGAGGAAGTGTTGGAAGTCTGTTGCCATCTTGAAGAGCTCACAAAAAGCTTTTTGCATCAGGAGGCGTTGACGAGCAAGGAGATTGATGGTCGTGACACCTACATCACGGAGGGATCCCTCGAGGCCCGCCTGCTTTGCATTGCCTTGCCAACTTGAGCTAAGCAAAACCCTAACTTCCCATGCCCCTTGCGTGAAGATGCTAGTCGTGATGTCTTCAATCCCAGGACGCATAGTGTCTCGTCCTTATCCAACATTGAAGATCATTGAAGCTTCCGGGCCAAGCGCCACCTTTCACCGACAACTCCCATGTATACTGAACTGGCTCATCGAGTCTGCACCACCTCGCACAACTCCAGGCCGCGCGCTTTGCTTCAGGTGCCCTGCTGTCGCTGGTAGACGACGCCTGGTCTGCATCGTGCTTGGTGCTGTTGTGTTTGCTGCTGTGTTTTGTGGTTGCGCAGGTCGGGCATCCTACTCGTGAAGAATTTTGAAAGGGTGACTTACCATCGAAACGGTTGG